TGGGCTACTGGCCTCTGACCTTCCAGGTGCCTCGGGAGGACTCGGGACTGGGGTCCCCGCCAAAGAGCTCCAGTGGGGGTGTTAGCACAGAGTAGGGATGTGAGGGGACAGGCGGGGGTCCTAGGACAGCAGTACCCTCGAGGTGATCAGACAGCATCGGCCATCAGGGGCTGGGAGTGTCCCCCAAGGCCCCGCAGGGACTCGGAGCCTCAGAGCCAGAGTGAAGGGCTTCCTCAGCCTCTAGCCCCTCTGTCTTCCACAGGAGGAGCAGGCCAACACACAGATGTCCAAGTGCCGGAGGGTCCAGCACGAGCTGGAGGAGGCGGAGGAGAGGGCCGACATTGCAGAGTCCCAGGTCAACAAGCTCCGGGCCAAGAGCCGAGATGTGGGGAGCCAGGTGAGAGCAGACGTCCCGAGACCAGGACCAGGGGAGCACCCCTGGGAGAGTGTGGAGGACGTAGGTTGCAGCCTCTTCCCCGCTGCTGGCCCTGAACTCACAGATGCCACGCCTTGGCCAGGCCCAGGGTGGCTCCAGGCTCATGGGGCAGAGGGGGACAAGGGGGCCAGACATGTAATCATCCCTGTCCCTCTTTGTGGTAAGAGGCACTGCCCAGGAAGCCCCTACTTTCTCGGGGGGGCTCGCCCATCCTCAGGGGCTCCCGGCTTTGTTTTTATAACGTGCAAGGGGGAAACCCTGCCACTCCGTAATCTTTTTCGTGCCTTTCCGGCTGTTCCACATGAAGGCAACAGTCCACCTTGCCTTTGGTTTGACTCGTTCCCTAATTGTTTTTTTCCCACAGAAGATGGAAGAATGAGGCCTTCCGGACGCCCATTGCCACGGGACGCCTCAGGAGATGGACGGTGGCGGGAGGCACAATGTTGTGAGGAATAAAATCTCCTGACTCCTCGTCTCTCCGGCTCTGTGTGTTCATTATCTGTGTGTTCATCCATTCTGCTTGCTCGGGGTGGTTTAAGAGTCTGCTGTGCATATAAAGAAGTAAGGGCCCAACCTCCTCAATTCTGCAGACAAGGAAACGGAGGTCCTTCTCAAGGCCCCCAGAAAGCAGCCCCAGTCCAGCCCTCCCAATAAGAGTAATGATAGCAATGCAAACACACAGAACGAGTTTGTTCATCTCCAGCATTCACATGTGCATGTTTGTTTTCCTTTCCATTCAAGCCACGAAACAAGCCAGCCAGATCAGGCCAATATTGATGCCCTCGTATCTAGAAGTGTTGCAGACGGGCTACGGCTTGTCCCGTGTTGAGAAGATAAGATCACAGTTCTTCAGACTCACCGCACAGCACATAGTCTCACACGGTGGGTTTTGCCTCCACGTAGGCACGTGGTGTGGTGGTAAAAGCCACCCCAGGGTGCCAACCTGCGTGGGTCCCAGACCTCCCCGTCGCTAACTAGCTTGGTGATTTGGGGCAAGTCACTTCATGACTTTAAGCCTCAGCTACCTGGCGTGTAAAACGGGGGTGTAACAATGCACTTTATAGGGTTATTTTGAGAAATAAATAAGATAATAAAGAAGCACCCTTGATCTAGAGCCTGGCACACAGTTAGCATTCCAGGGACCCGTCATCACAGTGGGGAGGGGTAAGCCTCAGGACATGGGTGGAGTGTAAGACTTGGGACCAGATGGACAACAGTCTGGGGTTGGGCTGTGTCTCTAAGGGGCTTCCGCTGGTTTGAGGACTTAATTACACCATGCAGGCGTGGGGGAGGAGGGTCATCAAAAAAATTCCTCTAGAATTCCATTCCCTTCTGACATCCCAATAGGGGCCCCTGGGTAGTTCAGTCGGTTGAGCGTCCGACTTCGGCTCAGCTCATGATCTCGAGGTCTGTGAGTTCGAGCCCCACGTCGGGCTCTGTGCTGACAGCTCAGAGCCTGGAGCCTGCTTCCAATTCTGTGCCTCCCTCTCTCTCTGCCCCTCCCCCGCTCATGCTCTGTCTCTGTCAAAAATAAATAAACATTAAAAATTAAAAAAAAAAAAAAAACAACAGAATCCCCATGGGCTCCAACATTCCCCAGTTTACTCGAGGCTCCCCCCAACGATGAGCCACCCCCACACGTCTGCACTTAGCTCCCCACATCCAAGCTCTGGGCCCCCAGATTTCTGAGTTAGAAAGAAAGAACGTTCCTATAACCTTCCCAGTGCATTCCAGTGTCTTACTCTACATCAGCATCCTGGTCCTTGAATGAAGGGATGCATGAATGAATGAGAATCTTCCATACCTAGACACCAAGTATGTCCTGATGAGAATAAAAAAAATTTTTTTTAAGAAAGTTCTTTTCTAAGGACTGGAATAAGAAAAAAGAGGCTCCTGTGTTGAGTTTTATTTCCCGGCATCTCCTTACCAAATTCCAGGGAGAGCCTCACTCAGACTCTTTGGTTCAGCCCCTCTGACCCCTCTAACTCTCTGGAAAAACCAAGAGGGTGGCAGAAAGTTCCTCGCCTCGGGTCTCCCGTGCAGTGACGTAGAGAGTGCATAGGACCAAAGTGTGCGTTCCTGTCTTGGCGTGTCCTGCTTTCTAGAAGTCCTTGGGCAGGTCAGGTAATGTCCCTGAGCCTCAACATGGGGCTGGAAGTCTTGGCACTATACCCACGGACAGGATGGGGTTGTTGGAAAATTCCTATGTGATACTGTGCAAGGAGTTTCCTCACCTGCACAGTACAGAGTGAACCTCAGGAGGCACTGCTGCTATTTGCTCACAATAGTGGCAACGATAATGACATTGTTGCCATTATCATTGATCACTATTGTTCAGTCTAGAAGCCCAACCACCAAACCGTGCTTTGGAGAGCAGAACCTCCCCCTAGCCTACAGGGCTTTGCTGCCACCTCCTGGCTGTAGAAGGACACACTTGCCATCATGGGAATGACCTTGAGACTCCACTCCCAGACATTAGACATTCGGAGCGCTGGAGGTATCCTTCGGAACCAGGATCATCTGGTCCAGGCCCTCCAGTTTTGCAGATGAGAAAATTCAGATTAGCGAGAAGGTCTTACAGTCCCTGAGGATCCCCCAGGAAAGGGCTCCCTCGTCTGAGTGTCCATGGAAGAGGCCCCTGTAGAATCTCGAGATGCAGGGCGAGCACCAACCAGCGGTTCCTGGTGATGCCTCTGGCAACAAAGGCTGGGGCCACTGCCAGGGGTCTGCCCCCCAGACTCCTTCTCCTTATGCCAGAAGCTTTGCCAGGCTGGAAAAGCAGGATTGGCCCCAGGGTGGAGGGCAATGCACCTTCAGAAACACCCTGCTGCCCCTAGCAGGGGAGGTGACCAGATCCTGAATGCCTTTGGGATAAAGGTGGCCCAGGGTGGTCCCAAAAGCCATGTTCCTTGGCCCTTTTCCTAGCCCCTAGACAGAGGATCAGGGTGTCCACGACTCGGCGAGATACCCAAGGACAAGACCGGTGCCATTTGACCTTCAGACCCCTGCGGTCTCCTGCAGAGGCTGAAAATGGCCAGCTTCCTTACCCTCTGGCTTATGAGTGGGTCCAGCCAATGCCACGTTGAGATAGAAACGCAGAAGGAAGGAGGAGAGTGAGGTCAAGAGTGTTTGTTCCCTCGGTCCCTCCCTGCAGATCCGCAGGGAAAGGTCCCATTTCTGAGCAGACGTGCCACTCTCCCCAGACCCCTCTGTCCCCATCTCCGGTGACTGGTCCTCAAGCCCTCAATGCCTGCACATTCACACCCAGGGTCCCGGGACCCGGATGTTATCGGGCCTGGAGTCCAGCTGCACCTCTACTGTATCTGGGTACCTAACCGCACCTCTGTAAAGCGCATCTCCGGAAAACCTCACATCATGCTAATGTGGACGTGCCCTCTACTTCCTGCTGGACTGCTGCCCGACACAAGACCTATTTCACCTATGGCCCCCGCACACCTATTTCAGGGCTCCCAGACCCTCCTCTGGAGCAGAACCAGCAGACCACGCCCAGGAAGAGTTGTGGACCAAGAAGAGGCTGCAAAGGAACCAGAGCGTTTATTTGAGGTTTTAGGATTGAAATCCGGGAGGCACGCCAGCCTAGCAGAATCAACAGGCTCATAAAGGCAAAAACCACAAGGTTACAAGGAGTTGTTTTCAAAGAATGATGATCGGCCCTGACACAGTTAAACTGTTTACTGCAGGACTGGCTATTCAGCTAGAAGATGCAACATTATCTCTATTTCAGTGCAAAGTAGAAGGGTGTGTTCCAGGAGGCGGTGGTGGTGTAATTCACAAGCTGCAAGGAACAAAGGTGAAAAGTCCAAGGTGTTCCAAAAATTGCAACAGGAGGGGTTGCTTAGGCCCCCTTCCTCAGTGTCCTCCCTGCCCCATCCCCAGGACTCTCTGGAGGGGCTTCCTGCACTTGGCAATCTCCTTTTACAGAGTGCTACCTGGCTTTGCCCACGGACATCTTTGGATCGTAAATTCCATCCAGATAGTTAATTACACATTCAGTTTCACTTCAACCTGGTACAGACCCTCACCAAAATCAAGCTTTCAGGATTGCTTCCAGGTTCTCAGCTCCCCCCTACCCCCCTCTACCCACCCGCCTTTTTTAAAAATTTAAACCAGAACAAGGGGTGCGTGAGTGGCTCAGTAGATTGAGGATCTGACTGCCACTCAGGTTATGATCTCTCTGTCCAGGAGTTCGAGCCCTGCGTGGGGCTCTGCTGACAGCTCAGAGCCTGGAGCCTGCTTGGGATTCTGTGTCTCCCTCTCTGCCCCTCTCCCGCTCACATTCTGTCTCTCTCAACAGTAAATAAACATTAAAAAATCTTTAACTTTAAAAATTAAATTATATAAACTTATAAGGGGATAAAATATATGAAAAGCAAAGGCAATTTAATGTTTATTTGGGGAGAGAGAGAGAGAGAATGAGAGAGAGACTGGAAGCGGGGGATGGGCAGAGAGAGAGAGGGAGAGAGAGAATCCCAAGCAGGCTCCACACGGTCAGCGTGGAGCCCGACGCGGGGCTTGAACTCACAAACCGGGAGATCGTGACCTGAGCTGAAGTCGGATGCATAACTGGCTGAGTATCCCTACTTCTTATCATCTTACGGTTATTCACAACTATTACAACTCCATGGTGGGAATACTATTTAATGGGGTGCTCCTTACATTTATTCCTGCGCCCACATTCACTGATGTCAGGTTGGCAGCTTGGCATTGGCCCCAGTGGAAATATTTACACCACAGAAACGGAACAGAGCTTTTTTGTTTGTTCGCTTGTTAAACGTTCACCAGCATGAGGTGGAACCAATGAAATCTGCAATCTGCAATTCTGTACATGCAGGTATCGGGGTTTGTAGGGCCAGACCTCCCTCCCCACCAGCCTCCCACCTAGTGGGACGAGGTCGACCTATACAAGGCAGCAAATTGAGAGGTCTTTTCAGAGACAAGGGTTTACGTCCTGCAGAGTGAGGCACCAAGAACAAGAAGGAACGTGGACCCTCCCGGCCCAG